TTTCTCCTCAGTGACTGAAATTAAAGATGCCCACATCAGAACTAGCAATTACTCAGCAAATTAAAGCTTCTGCTGAGGCTAATACAGAAAATATGGAAACAACATTAAAAAAACAAACAAACAAAAAATATAACAAGTAAATGAAGTTAATACAAGGGCTTGAGTTTAAAAAGAAAAACCTGGAGTGAAAATATGTCTGACTTAGATAGAGTGGTTTATTATCATATCCAAAGAAATRCATTAAAACTGTAAAAGGGGAAGAAACAAAAAAAAAAAAAACCACAACCACCATTGTAGAATCTTTGCCTTGAAAATATATGTGCCTGAAAAATTATTTGCTTTGAAAATTGASTCTGAGGAGGGCGTGCCTGCTGAGATTGCTGGCACAATCCTGGATTTTATGGGGGACAAAGTGATCAACTTCATTCCAAAAAAGGGGTTTACAGCAGAAGAAAGAGGTACAAGCATATGCTTCGTTCAGAAAGCTCTCATTGAAATGCTGCATTCATATTCAGGCTGACTGGTCAAAGAAAGGAACTGTGGTTGCTTCCCTCCCTGAAGTGCCACTGCAAACCCTTTCTCCTGTGCTGGCACACACAAACACACACATGCTCAGGTGATTGCTGAGCTTTAACACCAGACAGGATTCCAGGGCACTGCACTGCTCAGACTGCAGCTCCTTCTGCAGTCATTCATTAACCCTTCATTAAAATACATGAAAAAATATKGTTGTGCTGACTGTTCATCCATCTGACAAAGAACAGCCAAGAGTCAGTGCTCTCTATCATATGCAGGAAAGATTGTTACAGACTGCCTGGACAGAAAAAAATTCAAGCAACTAATATATTCACAGAGGAATAAACACAAATATTCTGATTTTTACTGTCATTAGCAGCCACAGTCCCTGAAACAAGAGGTGTAAACACAGACCTCAGRAACAGAATGCAAATCTTTCAGTACCCAGTGTTTCCCATGGGGCAGCACACATATTTCTAAATAACTTAAGAGGAATTGGGAAAATATCCTGGAAAAATTCTTCAGTCTRGCTTCAGGATCCAGTTGGAGACTGCTGATACTGGCAGGCAAGCAAAGATTCACACACTGGTTTATGGACAACTAAGAGAGTGATGGAACCATTGGTGTCACTGGTGCAGAGAGTTCAGAACTCTGCCCTAACACACCCTGTCCCATGGCCTGCATTAAACCATCCTTAATGTCTTTTTGTTGTTTTTTGGGGGGGCAGGGTTTGGGTATTTTTGTTTGGTTAGTTGTTTTTTTTGTTTTGGTGTTTTTTTATTTTGTTTTTTTTTGCAAGGGAAAACACAGGGGAAGATCAACCCCAGTGTTTTCCTAAATTTAATTCCTCTGGATATTTTAAACTACATGGCAGTTTGGGGCTTAGACTTAAGTAAACCAAGCTGCTTTTCCATCTGATGCAAAGCTCTTACCAGCACCAAAGAGCTGTCAGGTTCAAGTACTTCCATTATTCACTTGGCAGCRTTTTAAATTCTTATTTAAATTCTTYCCATTAGAAAACCTGAAGATCAATAATGCTAAAGGAAGATGTACTCTCATTTAAYATCTCCAAAACTACGCCAGACAACTGGAAGGCCTTCAGAAATCAAACACTTTTCCAGCTAACAGGGACTGGACTGGTTAATGGTTGTGTGTGCTCTCCACCATGTCCTTCACAGCCAAGGTGACCAGATTTACAAGTGACTAAAAAATTATTTTCAACTAAATCACTAGTTATCATCCCTATTTTCTTATTCCTTTCCTATGTAAATTCTTYCAAAAAAGAAAAAAAGATCCAAGTCAGGTTTAAAAAAAAAACATATTGTCTTTGAAATAAACCAAAATAACAAAGGAGAAAAACAGGGAGGAAGAAATCTGAATGATACCTGCACATATTATGTAAAACAGGAATATATTTTGTAACTTTAAAACCGTCTCATAGTGTTTCTTTTATTTTCTTCGACAACAGCTGATTATCTCAGATAAGGACCAACAGTTCCTCTCCAACTTCAGACATTTCCATAATTATTAACTTCGGTGGTAAGCACATAAAATTGTGGACTCAGTTTCAAGCAGGAAAGGAAATGGACTGTAAAAACTTCTGCATTTAAGGGCTTCCCTTATTAAAGAGCAGGGGATGGATTTTGTAGTGAAGGAGCTTTCAAACAAGGAAGAAATAATGTGCTTGGAAGATAATGTCAGAGAAATTCAAAGATTAGAACAGAAAGTTTCACTAAAGGGCAGCAGCTAAATACCAGGCCTTACCTAAGGACGTGGCGATTCATCTRCCACTTGGAATCCTTAAATCTTTCTTTTTGTTTTTCTACAAAAAATGCTCCAGCCCCCGAAGAAACTTCTTACAGCAGGAACCACTTTTTCAATCTCTATTCCTATCCCTTCCCAGGAGGTAAAGATGATAAAACTTTCAGATAGATACAAATTATCCTATTCCAAGAGGAGCAAAAGCAGCTATTTATTTTCTGCTAAAGTCATCCTGTGCAGAGTTCACTTCCCCTGCCAATATCCAAAAAAAGTGCCAAAATGCTCCCCTCCAGCTCCACAGAAATGAATCTGAATATGAAGTTATAAATTTCATTCTCCATGCATATAATGCCATCACTGCAATGCCACAGTGCCAGGAAAGAATGTCTTAAAAATAGAAGCAGGAAACAGAAATGCTGCTTTACAAGACTATTCCTTAGGGTTTTTTATTATCCAAGATATTGATTTCATTAACTATACTGGCTATTGTCAAAGGGAATGTAAAAAAAAAACCTGCCAAAACCTATACATATTTTTCTGTGTTATCAAAAATACAAAATGATTCCTAAGTCCTTGATTTCCCTCACTTTAATTCTCATACACACACATACTCTAATAAGCAAAATGTCCTTTCTTCCCCCCTTTTTTTGGTACTATTGGACTTCTTTATTTCATTGGCAAATAAATACCAGAAAACACCTGAGAGTTTAGAAGTTTTCACGCAGACTCAGAAAACAATCATTGCAGAAAGACTGGATATTAGTACAACTGTACTGTTAATAAAACACAGGGCCTTTATTAAACTGCATTTCTAATATTATTTTCAAAAGATGGAAAAGTTCATGACTGTACAATCTCACAGCTTTTAGACTGGATTGTTTACAATATTTTTTTGCATGATACTAATAAAAATTTATATTTTTTGCATGATACTAATAAAAATTATATTTCACTGGATGAGCTTTTAAAGATGGATTTTGAAGACCACAGAACCAGCCTGCATCCAAGCAACGATTTAGCATCAAATTCTACATTTCTTTTTACACATCTGGAAAACCCATAAAAGAAGCTTTGCTCTTATTAYAGGCTGTAGAACAGAGTTAAAAAATACAATAAACTGCACATTTTATAGCATCAACAATATTTAATRTAACTCCATCCATAGCCTTTTAGTTTTATTGTCCTGGGTTTTGAAATGAGTACTATTTTTATGCAGAGAATATTATGCACATGTTATGAACAACCACCAGAGTTCTTAGGAGAATAATCTCATGGAGTTTTTGAGTAACAGCAGTAATAAACAGAACCAGCACAAGGATCTTCTTCCACTATCTACTTACCTGCTTTTAGTGACCACTTCCCAATATTGGGCCTGTGATAACTTTATTTTACAATTAGGAACAGTGTTTTTCAGATAGGGTGGTGTCAAAGGCAGTTGTTTTGCGAATTTAACAGAGAACAGCAAATTTTAAAACTGCTATATGATTTTATTAGCTAAAGAGTCCTAACAGGAAAACAGTTTTTAGCCAAACACAAGAAACTGCTCCTCTTGGCAATAGATCTGTTCCAGCTTTGCCCAGTATCAGATTTTTTTGCAGTGATACAGACAGAAACCAGTCCAAAGAAGAAACTSAGGGAGTAGCTGAGGGAAGGGAGTGGCAGGAAATAAAACTGGCTGTCCCTTCTCTTAAGCCCTAACTACTGAAGACAACTAATATCAGAGCAGGTCCAAGGAAAAAAAAAAAGATTGATCATATTTAACGCCCTTCTCTCCTTTTGCTTTTAAATGCACTTATCCTTGTTGCACCCATTCCATTCCTCAGAGTTTATCATAAAGCAACAATTCAACCACACAGTTCCCTTTTAAAGAAAAGCAGTGCTGGTTATAGATGAATGCCAAAGCTGGTATAACTGAAGCACTCCTTCCGATGCAAAGCCATTTGGAATTCACATACACAGCCTCCAGACTGCCCAACTCCTGCCTTCCACAGAGCAAAAAAAAAAAAAAACTCCTTGACAAAACCCTACTTTGCACAAAGCCTGGCGTCATTTGTTTGATTCTATCCCCTGCAGCAACATCTAGATGACTACAAGGACACAAACCAGACATTGCTACTGTGTCATAATTCTTACAAACAGAAAGAATTGTGAACAAGGCATGGGATCAAGAGAAAAGGAAATCAATGAGTTGAAAAAATGACTTTGAATTTGTTTTCTTTTTTACATTAAAACTGCTTAATTTTTGGAGGAATCTGCATGCTATGTACAAATCATTTCATAAATCAGAATGCTAAATACATAGACATCAGAAAATGATCATGAGCTGTACAGGTATGTTGAAATATTCAAGAATCTATTCCAGATGTGAAGTGAACCAGTTTTTATATCCCAAAGTTCAGATATTAACAGAATTCTTGTGAACCCAAAAAACAAGATCCAGTTCTTAAAAACAATTCCTCATCACTGCTTCCAACTGAGTCAGGAGCATAAACAGATAATTTTAGTGGGTTTCCACTGGACAAGAGCTTTAAAATTAGAAAGCCACTTCAAAAATKAATGAAAGAAATGTGATTCAGAGCTACAAGGAAAATTGGGACACTATCCAATTTCAAGAGAGTTCCAAATTTCAACCAGTTTTTTTTCTCAGTACTTGGATAACGATATCATTCAATAACTCAATTTTTTTACCTACTTTCAAATTACACKAGAGTTTATAAACTTACCATTAATCCATTTGGCTTCTGGATTATGTACTATGAACTCTTTTCTGAAGAGATCTTCCAAGGATAATCTGTTTTCTGATGAATTTGCGAGTTCATCTAAAATAAACACAGGAAGATCATTTTAGATAATTATGGAAAACAGCATATTCAGTGTTGTTTGCAAAACAATGGAATTATAGCACCAGAAGTCCTGTAGAAATTGATAACAATATCTTGCCTTTTTTTTCATAACAAGAAAAATGATCATTTTTGTTCAATAGAGCTTCAGGAAACAAAGAATTGGTACCTTTGGGACAGGACAACTGTAGGATTTAGTGCTTGGCTGTTTATTACATTGGGACTTTCACAGCAAAGCTCTTCCTTACCACAGCCACATGCCATGAAGAGCTACAAACCAACACCAAAATTTCCTGACTATATTGAGTACTTTATACTGACCGAAAACTAAGTGAAAAAAAAAATCCTGTAAGCGAATTTGGAACCATCTTCACCTATTAAACAAATTTAGAAAAAAAAAAGCAAATTTCTAAACGCACATTTTATAATCTGTTCTTGATTTCTAGTGACTAGAACAACATAACTTGGCTGACAGCCTTGTGTTTTATCCAAACACAACAGAACCCAGGAATATTGTGCTWCTGAACATTGGCCAACACTGACTTTCAAAACAAAACAAAATAAAATAATTTCCCTGCATCTAAAATCATCTCCAAACTTCAGAAAATTAGAAAAGAAGCTGTGCTAAATACCAGTGTTCTTGTTCTGCAGGCTAAATAAATAAGGAGTGAAGATTCAATAGGGAACCGCTGCACTAACAGTGGTAATGTTGAACCATTACTATTAAACCAAAAGTTTTGGTGTCAAAAGACAAACCCACAAAGTTTCTAAGGAATAATAACTGGCAGCAGTCAGCACTTCACCTGACTGCTTTATGCTGTTTGGAACAGCACTGCCAAAAGCTGTGATGCTCATGTGCCATTGCAAAAAGATGCATAGGTACAGCTCCTATGCAACCAGTCCAATGCCCAGTCAGGTTTTTAAAATAATTTTATATTACTGGGCAGGTTACTATAACTTGATGCACTGTTTCTCTTCTCTATGACATTTTTTCCCAGTGTGTCAGGCATCCACCTTGTCCATGAGAGGAGCTTTTTATTAGGCAGATTTTTTCCTTACTAAATTAAACAGTACTCCGATGACAGACACACAAAAAAAATATTATCTGGAATCACAGCAGTCAAGCAGGAATCTTTTCATCTTTGTGTCAACCCACCATGTTACCAGGACATTTTTAACAAAGAAACGTGCCCTGTAAAGGTCATATCTTGTAATACATTTCAGATGGAAATGTGACCCTTCAAAGAGTATAAAGTCAATCAATGGTTTCGTTATTGGTCTTTATTCAGGCAAATTTCTCAGTTAGAGGCCAGCTGAAAGCTTACTGGAATCAGCAGCAATATTTTATTTTTGCCTTTAAATGTCAGCACTGCCTGCTGCAGTCACTTAAGCTGGTGTTAATAAGGTGCATCCTTGGTGTACTGARGAGAAACTCCTTTCTAATGCACATCATGAATTTCCAATGGACACAGGGCCATCACAGCTGCTCACAGCACAGCTCTGCTGCATTTTGCATGTTCCTCCCTCCCAGGTCGCAGCAGGGCCCTGGGAAGCATTTACCCACTGTAATCAACTCTTCATGCACTTCATGTCTTAGAAGGCTAAACAGGCAGACTTGTCTAAATCCTCTCTCTTAAGACAAACATTCTAATCCTTAAAGAAGCTTTTTGCCTTCTTCCTACCTTCCAAGGATCAAAATAGCCTGTTTGGGGTTTTTTGGTTTTTTTTTTTTTTTTTTTCGTCTGCCAGTCCAGCATGGAGCACAATATTCCACTTGCAGTCTTACTGGAGCTTTACAGCAGAGCAACATTATCTCTCTTGATTTATACCTAATCCCTCTGTTTACACATCATGGGACCTTGTTAGCTCTTGCTCCTGCCACACGCTGTGTTTTTATCTTCAAAGTAAGCACATGTTGTTATGTGTGCTCTGTTCAGCTCCACAAATAGATTCCTGCATCTTCAAAACAATAATTCTGACTTAACAGCATCAGACACYGGGCTCTTCACATGCCCATTGTCCCCTTTCTCCATAAACTTGCTGACAACTACCTTTGACAAGCTGTTTTCCATCACCAGTTTGGATTCAACACACCCTGGTCCTGATGCTGTTTGTGATTCCAAACAGGCTTCCCTTCTAACCCTACCTGARTCTGTTTCTATTACTGTGACCCTTTATTTCCTGCCACTGCCAACTCACAGTCAAGCTCACACAAGCTGTTAYGCTGCCAAAGATTGCCTTACCTATGACAGGCTTTTTTTTTTCTCAACTGCTTAAATAAAAATCACTAAAACAATGCATTAGCTGAATATAACAAGGCTACCAGAGAAGAAAGGAACACCAGCTCTGATCTATTCYATCACATGCCTGACAAGAAATCTCATTATAAACTGGATTTTAAGGTAAGTTCTTTTAATTAGCATTTCTAGACTGAAAAAACTGGCCTCTTCAAGCAACTTTAATAAATGCTTGAAAAGTAATTTTTTTAATGCTGAGTTTTTACCAAAATAGAGCCCTGTTTGTAACCTTTAACTCTTGTCAATRTCTCAGATGCCCAGTTTGACTGTAAGATGAACTATACATCATGTGAACCCCCAAAACGCTCTACTGGGTTAATCTTTACTGAGCACAAGCCCAAATTAGTTGWACTTCACAATGTTCATACTCACAGAAAGGGCAGAAGAGGATGGTGGGTGCCCTCTGTGCCAGTGACCAGCTGGAATGTGCAGGGCTGCACCTCAGGATGGGTGAGGAGCCAATCTCAGGGGTCAGGATTAAAGGGGGACAGGGACAGGTGACATTATAGTGGGGTCTGYTRCAGGCCACCYAGTCAGGAACACAGAGGGGAGTGTCCTCCAAAACACAAGCCCTGGTCCTCAAGGGGGACCCCAACCACCCCAATATCTGTTAGGGGGACAGCACAGTAGGGCATAAGCAACCCAGAAGGTTCTTGGTATGCATGGTTGGTAACTTTCTTCTCCAAGTGACAAGGACATGGACCTGCTGAAATGGGTCCAGAGGAGCCCAAAAAGATGCTCAGAGAGCTGGGGCATCTCTGTCATGGAGACAGGGAGAAATTTGAGACTGTTCAGCCTGGAGAAGAGAAGGCTCCAAAGACACCTTAGGACACCTTCCAATTCCTAAGGGGGCTCCAAGAGGGCTGAAGAGAAACTTTGGACAAAGGCTGGTAGTGATAGGATAGGGGCGGAATGGATTCAAACTGAAAGAGAGCAGGTTTAGGTCAGATATCAGGGAGAAATTCTTTGCTGTGAAGGTGGAGAGGCCCTGGCACAGTTCGCCTGGAGAAGCTGTGGCTGCCCCATCCCTGGGAGTGTCCAARGCCAGGCTGGATGGGGCTCGGAACAACCTGGGACAGTGGCAGTGTCCCTGTCCATGGCAGAGGAGTTGGAATGAGATGATCTTTAAGGTCGCTTCCAACCCAAATTATTCTTTGATTCCAGCATGTACATTTTAAAGGCTTCCTTTTACTACTTTGTATTTATTAGGCTACAAAATAGCCTACTATCTCTTTTTCATTTCCACTGTAAAATTTACTGAATTATTCTTGAAGGAATTATATTTCCAGTGTCCTCACACTATTTGCCACAGATTTCAATATTTCAATCTGAAATTTTTATATATATATATATATATATATATACATACATATATATATATGTATGTATAGCAAATTACACAAATTACAGAAGATACAAACACCACCAAATGTTAAAAACTAAATTACTACTTTTTATATGTACATCCAACTAAGAACAGTTCAATTACTGGCATGTATTAATTCAAAATGACAAACATGTTTGTGCTTACTAAACTAGAAGACTGCAAAAGTAGAAATTAACAGCCTTGGTGCTTTTCACAAGTTTATAGGATATTAATTTTGCAGGTTAAATGTAACCTAAACACCTCATAAAATTTACCTTCTATCTTAGCAAATAAAACTAATAATTATGTACTGTAGTACATCATTAACTGAAGCTCCCTACTGACTTTTCTGTGGAAAAGAAGTTTTAAGGCYATAAATGAAGATAAAGGCTTGATGTTAAATGCCATCTGAGCAGTGGAAAAACACCACTAATAAACTGTATGCAAGCTAACAGCTATAACTGGGAATTAGTATAGTTCCCTTCGTGTTTGCATGGCAAAGGAAGAAAACTTGCCAGAAAATAGTCAGAGATCAAAAGCTGCTTGCCACTTCACAGTAGTTACAGGGAGCCTATACATCACCAGAAACCTGGATATTCTTGCAATGAATATCCACATCACAAAAAAAAAAAAAAAAAAAAAAAAAAAAAAAAAAAAAAAAAAAAAAAAAAAAAAAAAAAAATTGTAGTTGGCTTTCTATTCCTTTAAGAGTAGATGAGAGATGGTGTAGAGAGGTCAGGGCTAACCCTGACTGTTCTAAACAGTTACCTATTGGACATAATCCAAATGGATTCTCTTCCCAGAGCTTGATTTCACTCAAAACCTTTCCACAAAAAGCATCTTTTGRCAGTTTGTCTGACCTAAATGCTCTCTAAAGTAATTTTTCTGAAAAGGTATTTTTTCTTCGATCAGGTGTGAGTTTTCTTTCAGTCTACAATTAGAGGCAGGTGCCACTTTGCCCAAGAGTAAGTGCACATATCAAAGGCATGGTTTAAATGACAACATCAATATCTCAGTAAAGGAATCTTAGAAAAAGCATTYGAGTCTTCCACACCTTCAAAACCCTGAAGTTTTTGAACATGAAAGTAAAACTTCTGTCAGGCTCAAAACGAAAAAACAACCTTAAGTGTTGTGGTAAAACACCTGCAGAGGGGTGGCCACATCCATACAACTCTTGGGCTGTTCTTGGGTGATTTTTCATGTAAAAGCTTTCAGCGGCTAATGCTTCCAATTGAGCATTTTTCAGTTTTGAAATACAGATAAACAGCGGCTGATCAGACAGGTTTTCACACAATTCCTACAACGTGGAACATACTGTCATGATGCAAAGCAAAAACACKTTGATTTGAAGGCAGGGATGATTTAAAGGCACTGATAGCTAAAAATCTGCCTCTGACTATTTCAGTAGATGCAGGTGTGTGATGAAACCTCGCTAACATGAAATAGAATAAAAGCAAAACAAGAAAGATAACTGCTATATTTATGCTGACATACAGACCAAAAGATGGCATCTCATGAACAGCCATCTCTATCTCTGCACTGGCCATAATTCCCAAGGTAAAGCTATAAATGTAAGATTAATCCCAAGGTATTTTCTTTTATTTTCTTTTATTTTCTTTTAAATACTTCTCCAGCAATCCACTCCAAATAATAAATAAAAATCACCAGATTCATCATTAAGTTGCCCCAGAGGGCAGACAGGCTCCTATTCTGAAAATTTCAAGTTTTTCAACTCCAGYCTCCTGCTCTAACAAGAGTAACCTCATTCTTTGCCATCTTTGTGCACTTTCTTTATCATTGCATTTGATCTAATTTTGAAGAAAACCAGCAGGGATATTTGCCTAAAAGCCTTCTACTCCCAGTTGCAGAGCACTGTAGCAATATCTGCGTGAATGGGAGCAATGGGGTTTATTTAATGCACTCCTTATTCCACAGGGCCTCAGAGAGAGCTGTTTACTGGGCTGAGAGTTCATTCAGACTCTGCCACTAATATTTTACATCACTCRATGGACAGGTCTTCCACTTTTCCATCTCTTTGTTGAGAAAACTAAGGCATTTATAAAGATTTTGAGTATTATCATAGATGAAAAGCAAGATAAAATGATCAGAAATGTTACTAATTTTGTTGGTACCATTTGCTAAAACCACAAACATTAATTGCAACACAGATGTTTCAGATTTGAACAGAAGCTAAGATATTAATAGGTCAAAATACTCTTATTTCAGCATAGATCCAGCTTAGTGTTGTATGTTCAAGTTATATTCCATGTAATAAAAGATAATACAAAAAAAATCAAGAACTTCCTTTTATTTTTAATACTATTTCTATCTTTAGTGGAAGCTAAAGCCTCTTTGAAGCCTTTAGCATAAGAATTACACTTTCTTTTAAAAATGCCATATGGCAGCATTGATCCCTCTATTAAATAAGGCAGGAAAGCTGTTGCCCAAAGTCTGAGAGAAGTCAAATGACAACTGTTAGTGTACACAGACCTAAGAGTTCCTYACATTGTGGACCAAACAATGTATAAATAATTGCAGGCAAAAGAGATCACTGCTGTTGCATTTGGCGTTTCAGTAAATACACTTTTGCCTCCAAAAAATACCAGTGAAACAATCAGGCTTCTGAGCAATGACCATCTGAAATTATCATCATTTCCATAAAAAGAAGCAGCATGATGTAGAGTGTTTAGAGGAATTTACATGCAATCTAAAAAGCACCCATCCATACAGGCAGAACTAAATAGAGAAAGAACTCTCTGATGCTCAAAATAGTATTAGAAATGAGAGCTGAAACATCCCAAGGTAACAAAGGACATTTGCACTGAGTATCTTCATTCATTTTATGAGAAGAATTTTCAAACCCAAATATTTATAGCAACAAATTAGTTCAGTGTAGGAACTGAGCACCTCACAATATGGGTAAGGGAGGGGTTCTCCAACTCTTCTCCTCCCCTCAATTACCAGACACCCTAAAATGATCTTAACACATATTCATGACAAGGTAGCTTCAGCTGTAGAGCTTAGCATGTGCCAGCAGACCAACAGAGTAGCAATATATCTTCTTCCCAAACCATATGGATAATTAATAATAATCAAACARATTAATAATTAAAGTGAAGTGGGACAGCACTGATTAGGGCCAAAACAGGGGAAAGTATCTATCCTACAATGTATCTCCAAAGCTTTCCTTGGTAAGCATTTCCAGCCCATGAGAAGGTCCAGTTTTACAGACCTAGATTGTTCTGGGGAAAAGATTTTTATTTATATCAAGCTTTCCAGTCTCTATGGGATATCTTAGAGCATCTGAGCTGACAGAACCAGTTTTCTCTTGCATGACTTGAACTGAAATGTAGGTCCCAACTTACACAAGTTCTCAAGCAATATCTCTGGATTTTGAATCAGCCTCAGAGACATTGTAATTCACTGAGCTTTTTTAACATATTTTTTTTAAGTTAACATTTCCCTAGGTTGTTTATTCTTTTTCCATGAGTGCCTTCAAAGACTTCAGTTTATGTTTTTACATCATTAATAATTCTATACAGATGTAAGAGCCACAACTGATATTACTGTAAATTCCAGCAGACACTTGATATTTTACAAGTCTTTAAAAAAAACCCTCCCTCTCCTAGAAATAAAAAACAATCTTCTGCCTTAAACTGTACCAGGATATGCTACCATTGGCCCTCAAAACCTTTGTTTTATTATTCCCTGAAGAAGTTCCTATACACTGAAACTACAGCAGCACAACTTTTATTTTTCTCAACATGATCTAACTGGAAATAAGCAAACATTCATTTTGGACAGCACATGTGTAAGTAGCAGATCTTTACACAAAACAGACAAAACAGACTATACACAGCATTCCTGCATACTCTCTCCAGCTGCCTCATTCTCTCTGACAAGCAAAGCTTTTTGATCCTTTTCCACTGAGCATCACCACCTTCCTTCAGAGCAGCAGCACTGTGCTGCTGCACTTGCTCATGCACAGACTCAGCCAGCTTCCCTCGATGATTCCATTCTGTGGCCAAACAGTCAGGAATCATTATTTAACTAAAAAGAGCTTCATTAACTTTTTGGTTTACACAGCCTGAGCATTTGAATGGCAGAGTATTTGCAGACYAATATTTACTATCTAGGCATGCCATGCAAATCTGGTACTTTACATGATAACTTGAAAACTGGCAAAAGGATTCAATTTTTTTTTTCTTCAAAACCTCTGTGCTGTTTGCCCCTTTTGTCTGCTTCTTGCCCCTTTTCTCTTTTTTTCTGAACCATTATTTTCCTCTTTTTGTTTCTGAGAGAAAGAAAAGGGAACAAGCTTGGACAKGCACATATGGAAGATCCATATTTGTGACTGAGAAGTTCTACTCTTGTAATTTGTTTTCCATGGCACACAGCCTTCTCTTAGCTTATCTGTGAATCTGAAATTACACCAAAACCAACAAATTACACCTGCTGAKGCTCACAAGGATTGCTGTGGCCCCCTCAAGGCTATCACAATCCCAAGGAGCTATTGCCAATCCCAAACCCTTTTGCTCTTCAAGGCCTCCAGAAGCTCCCGAGCCCCTAAAGGCACCAAATTTACAGCAGCCACAAGTTAAAAATGCGTAAAGGCAAGAGATACTTTAACATTTGTTGCTTTTGATGACTGYATTATGAATTACACACCTTTAATAAGATAAAACAAAGAAGTAGGTTACCTGGAGTTAAAAGAATGACTGACATAGTGATGAGTGAACAAACAACTAGAATCACCAGCAGCGCAATAGCAATTCCCTTCCAGTTCCTCTGCGGAGGGCTGTTACTTCCAAGTTCCTATGGGAATGGAAAAAAATGAAATAAAAGGAAAAGACCATGTTTCATAAACATACATTTCCAGAACTATCAGCGACAGGAAAATTGCTCTGTGCATACTCATCATCACAGCACGGGAGGTGATCATGATCCCTCCCTTTTCCAACGTACATAGAATCATCCAAAGGTGTGGAACTCTTATGCTTTTTTAATAGATCTCTCTCTTTTTTTTCAATATATATATGTAATTTTATACCCCTAAGAGACAATCAAATGATCTTATGCAAGCTGYCCAAAATACAACTGGTGTTAAAGTGCCCTGAACATAAACTCAGGACAATATCAGCAAGCAGTTTATAAGATAATTACAGAAATGAAATGTAGCAATTTACTGTAATTCTACCTAACATGGTAYGGGCCATAAAGGTTTAAATACACATCCTTTTTAATGCACACTATTAAACTTATTTGTAATAGAAAGCATTAGCAAAACTGCCTGAGGCTGCAAGTATTCCATCTGAAGCTACAAGCTCTTTTTCTCTATGCAGTAGATCAGCTGTAAACTGCTCCCCTATTAGTTATTAAAAAAACAACAGTAGCTTATAACAAATGTTAAATGAATGCCTCTGTAACTACCATTGCACCTAAGCCTACATCCTCTGTGGTTCCATGCTTAACTCCTGCCAGGCACCATTTACATTTTTTCAATAACAGCAATGCATTGCCCGTGTTCATGGTTCAGTTTGAGACCAAGCAGCACATAAACATCTAACAACACRGTGACAAAAATAGTACAATTGTTTCTTACAACACTAACTCTCCTTCACAGAAAACATTATTTTTTCTATCTAGATCTGGCAAGCAGAAATGTCTCTCTGCCACAATTACCCATGCCTTTAGTATCTCAAAATTAAATGCTATGGTAAGGCTGGAAAAATAGGAAAAAAAATAGCACCTCCTGCTACGTTTTACAAGCTTCCAAAAGCATGGTAAAAGGTTTTCACATACACATTATTTCGTTTTGCATTTCTGGGTTATAATGAAATGGAGAAGTCCTAACAGAAAGTGGCAATGTTCTTGTGCCTTCTTGGCTCACATACAGCACCTCAGCAACCACACATCACCCACAGCAGCAGCTCCAATAGTGTCTTTAACCTTTTTGTGTTGTTTTTTTTTAACCCCTTGCCTGTTCATTTCTACTTGTAAAAGACAGCTTCCCTCCCTGGCCTTCTTTCCCAGGAAATAGGAGGGGAATTGTCCAACACAATCTCTAAGCAATCCTACAGAGAATTCTCACAGCAGTCCTCAGCCCATCAAAGCTCCCAGCAAGAAACCTCCCCACCTCCCACCATGTCTTCTGCCTGCTGGACCCATCATCCTGCCCAGCCTGCCTGAGACTGCTCATTTTTGAGATTTTTAGCCTCACCAGACTGAAAGAGCAGCCAGCCTGCCTCCAGTGCAGCCCCTGCTCATGGCTGGTGGTCCCAGGAGCAGCTCCCTGACCTGAGAGGTTCCAGCCTTCCCCTCCCCACAGCCAGGTGATGGCCACCAGCACCAGTCCTGTCACAATTATTGAACTCTTTTATATCACAGAAATCTCCTCTCTGGGGCTGTTACTGCCCCAGTGTCAGGCAATGGATGATGCACAAGCACAGCACACAGGAGGGATCCAGGGCAGCTGCAGCACAGGACTGGGGCCAGTCCCTCCCACGCTGAACTCTGCGGCTTTTCCAGGATCACCATGGGGAAAAACMTGATTACCACAACCAGCAACACATCTTAGATACCTGTGGGGGTTTTATTAAAGTTCAGGACTCCTGTCTTCAACACTCAGGGGAAAAGAAATGGTGTAAGCAGGAACTTGTGGCATCTGTCTCCTTTCCCCACTCCACCGCCTCTGCTTCCCAGTCACTTCCAAGCCTGCCTGCTCTCCTCATTTTCTTTCCCACCTTGTGAAACMCAAATTACCACAGCAGCCTCCTCACTAGCCTTAGACAGGTCTCCAAGGCCTGCCTGACTGCTTCATGAGCCGCTCTGGTGATCTCTAGGATATGAGCATTGTGTGGTTCAATCCTCTCTGGACACTGCTGACACTGCAGGGATCCACASCCTTCCTACAAAAATACAGAACTTCTGTCCCATGCATGGGAATCAAATCCAAGCTATTATTTTCCCTTAAATAAGAATTATTTTAAAGTGCTAATAGCACAGTGTAGAAAATACAAATTTATTCTGAACATCACAGTATTAGTCTTATTTAAATGACAGCGAGAGAGTCCAATTTCAGACAAGAATCAGCAGCTCACAGAACTAAGAAAAGTGTAGTTTTCCTCAGAGCATCGTGAGACTCTATTCCAATTTAAAATAACAGAAGCTGGACAACTTGATGAATGTACCAAAGCCTCTAAAAAATCTACCAAGCCTTCATTATTCACAAGGTTCTTCTTTGCAGACATTAATATTGTTTCATTTCTAAAAATAAAGCTTCATTTTAAATACTTCTGCAAATTTTTGCAAGGAGAATATCAAAAAGATGAATCAAGAAGTACTGAGCATACAAAGCTCATTGGTACCCACAGTGAGAAAGCAGGGAGCTTCCAGCTAGCTGAAAACTCGGAGAGTGGCATAAATAGAAGGACTTGTCTCCCATTAAGTTATCCAGGTTTAATATTTGGATAAAAATTATGACTTTTATGAAATTAATACGTAAGAATTTATTAAAGGTCGTGATGATATTTTGATATTGAGTGACAACATTCCTGCAAGACATTTATGAATTTATTGCACACAAGCAATATTTGATGAAATATTAGAAAGATTTCTATAACAAATTGAATTCATAGCACAATCACTATTAAGGGCATTGCCAATTAACTTTTTGAAACCAAGCAATGCAACTCTTGAACTGTAACCTACAAAGTTTTAAAATAACATAAGCTGCTGTTCTTCAACAATACAATATTTTCAGCCTCGTGCTGCTTTTCAGAATGGTCATAAGCAAAAGGCAGTAAAATAGATGTTTGGGCTGTGTATCACTGGCAAGACAGAAGCTGTGATTTCTGAGTGTGACAAGAAGACAGAGGCATTCAAGAGGAAACATCACAGAGAGCCACATAGTGAGAAGCTTTTGACACCATATAGTTTCCCCATAACTATCTGCTAACTGGCACATAACAACAATGCAGACACAGATGGAGATTTCAGGATCTAATCTTCTAAGCAGGCTTTTTTATTAATGTGGTTTGAAAAAATACCAACGCTTGAATATGGTGGTTTGTATATAACACTACCTATAATGTTTTTATAGATTTTACAATCCAACTCTAATGAATCAGAAAATGGCTGCTCAAAGCATAAAACAATTGCAAGTTTTCTCAGTATTTATAGCAGCTTTTTTACAAACCATTTAATTGCATTGTTGCCAAAAACAATCCTTAAGTAACATGTATTTTTGAATGTAATTTGTGATTGAGTAATACCTTACTCAAACATAGCTATAAAGAGAAAAATGAAAGACTGCATGCACAAAAAACTGTACACCAAAGTCAGAGAGCCTAATGCCTACTGCTGCCAAATGCTAAAGACCACATTTACCAAGAGCTTATAAACACTCACCATCAGGGATCTCAGTGTGTGCAACCAAAGGACATTCAAGCCTAAGAGCCTCAAGTTTCTGCTCTGTGATTGTCTCCTTTCAATCTCTGCTGGAAAGACCCCTGAAAGACTGGTCTTACCAAAGCATGTAAAAAATACATGGTACAGCACTACAGAGGGTGCAAATCCTGCAGCAGTAACCACAAGGAAGGCTAAACCAAAAACCTGCAGAGACCGAGCGTGGGAGGGAGGACAGGTTGAGGCTGTCAAAGGAAAGCATGAGTCACTTCAACCCTTCTGCATCCCTCTGCTAAACCCACTCGTCACTGCAACACAAGGTATTTCTGAGGAAAATGCTGAAAAAATACATCCAGCAAATATGAAACGCAAATATTACCCAAACATGCTGAAGCACCTTTCTCTCCACTTTTTTATGCTGTTTTCTAAATATATAGTCCATCTCCAAACAWATTTTACAGGCTGGTGATGAACTGATTCACTACAGGCATGAAAATCTTCCAAGCATCAGCAGGACACAGCTTTGAATATCCCAATCTACGGCACAGAACCACAGAACAGTTTGGGTTGGAAGGGATCTTAAAGATCAGCTCAGTCCAACCCCCTGCCACCTTCCATTAGACCAGGCTGCTCAAAGCCCATCCAGCCTGGCCTTGAACACTGCCWGGAAAAGTCTGGCTCCTCCTGGRAACCTGTTCATTGCCACACCACCCTCACACAGGGAAGAATTTCTTTTTTCTGTGCCCTTTCAGTGTAAAGCCATTCTCCCTTGCTCTGTCAGCACCAGCTCCTGCAGAAAGTCCCTCTCCAGCTCTCTCRTAGCCCCTTTAGGTACTGGAAGGTGCTCTAAGGCTTTTTCAGAGCCTTCTCCTCTCCAGGATGAACAGTCCCAACCCTCTCAGCCTTTCTCTGCAGGAGAGGTGCTCTGAGCATCTCTGTGACCTCCTCTGGGCTCCTTCCCACAGGGTCCACATCATTCTTACACTGCCCTAGGGCTGGATGCAGAGCTCCAAGGGGGTTTTCACCAGGGCAGGGCACAGAGACAGAACCCCCTCCCTGCCCTGCTGCCCACAGAGCTTTGCGAGCTGCCCAGGATGCATTTTTATTTCTGGGCTGTGAGTGCACATTGCTAGGTCATGTTGAGCTTTTCATTTACCAGCACCAAGTCCTTCTCCTCAGGGCTGCTCTCACCCCATTCTCCACCCAGCCTTTATTTGTGCTCGGAATTGCCCGCACTTGGAAGTGCTGGACTTTGCATGTGGCCTTGTTGAATTTGCCATCTCTCCAGCCTGTCCAGGTCCCTCTGGATGTCATCCCTCCCCTCGAGGCTCTCAGCACAGCTTGGAGTCTTTGGGAACTTGCTGAAGGTGCCCTCGATCCCACTRTCCACATCCCTGACACAGATGTTA